CATGAATTAATCACTTATGTTAGTGACAGCCCGTAATATAGACTTTAATTGAGTCAACAGCATTTTTTTCTCAGTGTATATATATATATATGTGCGTATGTATATATACGAGAGGCATCCCAAAAGTATAAAGTTTCCCCATCATAGAAAAATAAAATTAAAGATAGGACTATTATACAACTCATTTATTTTAAATTACTATAACATTAGAGGGCTACGAGCCAACTTTTAGCTCGTAGCTCTCTAATATTATAGTAATTTATAATTTATTGAGCCTTATTACTCATATTATTATTTATTTTATGAACTTGATACTTAAATCATTTTTCAATGTAGTCATCATTGAAGTTTAACCACTTGTTAACGTGACAACCAGTTTTTCAGTATCAGTGGTATAAAAAAAACGTGTTCTTGGATCGGAGCCACGATTTCACTTCAGCCTTGATTTCATCGTCGCTTTCGAATCTTTTGCCACCCAAATGTTTTTAAGCGCAGGAAATAAATGAAAATCACTCAGTGCAAGATCTGGAGAGTATGATAAATGATGAAAAAATTCCCAAAGAAATTATGTCAACAAATTCTGTGTTTGTCTTGCTGAATGAGGACGTGCATTGTCGTGAAACAGAAAGATTTTTCTCAAAAAAACTTTTTAAAAGACTCTTTTTAGTTGACGGTGATTAATTTATTTCGCTTTTGCTTTTTTAAGGTAAAAAATCAAATTACTGCACGTAATTTGCAATCGGGCATGATTTAAATTTGCTTAGTTAATTAGTGTTGAAGGTGATGGTAAGTGAAGAAATGTTTCCAACAATTTCCAACATACTCCCACGAAACGTCTCAACAACACACAAACTAAAAAAGCACAATGAAAGAATTATGCAATTGGCACATTTTTTTAATCATTAATGTTATTTTTTATATCTAATTGATTCATCTTATTATTCTGTGCATAAAGTATTAAAGTAATCCAAAAATAAATAGTTTATGAGATATTTTATATTTTACGTCAAAATTTGCGAGAATAAAGTATAAAATATTTGATAAACTATATACTGATTTTTCAATATCTCTATTTTAATACTTTTATATGTAGAATAATTTGAGGAATCATGTTACATGAAAATCATATTTTATTTATCTGAAGAAAAAACAACGTGATCAAATACGTTCCTCTCAAAGCCACTCCTTTTTTATCTAAAATATTTTTTTGTATCATTAATAGTTTTGGAAAAAAACTAACTGTTAAAATAAAATAGGACATTCTGTATACACATGTAACATTTTGTTATTTTTGACTTCCAAATCCATGCATCAAGATGTAAATGAATATATTTCGTGGTTGGTTTCAAAGTAAAGTAAACAATATTCATATTAATATATTATATACATTTACAATTAGCAAATAATATTAAATTTGAGACAATATTATTCACTAAGTGCATCTGTTAATATGGATATTGTTTATTTCGAAATTTAATACATTTTCTTCAGTTAAATTGTTTAATTCCATTATTTTAATTAAATTAATTAATATATTGAGTAGGAATAATGGCAATCTATAGAAATGATTAAAAAATAATTCAATTTGAGTATAATTTGACATTATGAAGTTAACAGCGTGAGACGAACTTCATCGATCATACAGCTCGAGAGAAAGACGCCTACAATGCGCAGTTCATATACGAATTTCTCTCGGAAAGAGATATTTCCTTTCTCCTTCTCTTTTCCTCCGATCCCCTCCCCCCTCCCTCTCTCTTTCTCTCTCTCTCTCTCTCTCGGTATGTAAATGTCAGTTCACGCGGAATGGTAGATGCATTCTTCGAAGAGCATTGTCCGATGCATATCAGACATAAAAATATATGTATGCGCTAAAAGAGATACGCCGAGACGTGAAACCGATGTTTGCCTCGCATATTGCATGGCGGCATTCTCAAGGAGCTTTCTCGCGAGCATTTTCCACATTTCTGGTATTGCCGAAGTCCTCTTCGGCAAAATGAAAAGAGACGTTGTTATTTATGTTTCATTTGTTCGCGTTTTAAAGTTGTTTGACTAAAGGTAACGCGAGAAAGGTAGAGATATTTTATGATGTTCCTATATATATATATGCCCTTTGCCTGCGAGGTAACATTTTCGTTGATAACGAGTGCTTTGTACTAACGTATGCGTTATTTGTAAAGGAGCGCCTTTCGTACAATGACTACCGGGAGAGAAGCTCGTTGCCCATCCAGGGAATAAGAGATTACGTATCTATATGCAGGTGTCTATATTGTCATTCTCAAACGTCATCCGCACAAACAGGATGGCAGAGATTCGCGAGAAGCGATGTGCACAATAGAAAGCGCCGTAACTTTACATTACAAGAACGTCAGCTTGGCACTTGGGACGTGCCCGCGCAAAAACCATCTCCATGGTTTCTTGCGATACTTTCTTCCGATCGCGCGAATCGACCGACGAGCAATTTTCTGTATCCGTTACGCGTCAAGTGCCCCCGACGTGATTCGTAACTCTGTGAAAAATAGTCGGAAGTGACAGCATGGCGCTCGCCGCGCCACGTGAATCAGTGCCGCTGCGCTGTCTCTCGATAACGGATCTCGATCGCGGGGTGAGATTTTCACCCCCCGGTCATAACGAATCACCTGGCGAAGGACTGCGCCGGTGATGAATTAACGCTTGTCACACGGGGACGACGAACGGAGAGCGGCAGCGACGCTAAAATTAATACGTTTTAGCGTGGACACGCGGAATCTGTGACATTTACGATCGCACGAACATCACGCGTGCACCTGCGGCCGCGTGCATGTTTAATGATGGTGTGCATATATGTATAACACAGAGTTTCTCCTGGGTCTGGGTTATCATGATTAACTTTTCCTGTATCCAAGCGGCAGATAAGCGCCCATAAAGAACGTCACCCTTGTGACGATAAATCGGGTTTATTATGTTTCATCGAAAATCTCTATATGATTAACTGATTCAACCTCGCCGTTTCATGATATTTACTCTTTAAGATTAACGCGAGAGACGATTTATTTATTGATAGATTATTACAATCAAGAATTTATACGTCATGTAATTAAAAGTTGTACATCTTTCATTAAAAAACTGTGTATGATTAATTGATTTAATGTTGCCCTTTCATGACACTAATTCTCGTATTTTTTTTTTTTTTTAAATTAACGCGAGAAATGTTTTATTCACTGATAGTTTATAAACGTTAAGAATTTATACTTTGTAATTACATTTATAAGTTTTATATCTTCTTGATTGTTTGTATTAAATTTTGAAAGAAAAAATTTTTTATAAATATATAGATTTGCGGATTAATCGTTTCAAGGCTGAATTAGAAAACAGTACTATGAATAAAAGCAATAGCCTTGTATTCATTCGTGTGAGAA